AGAATGAATTTGTAAAAAGACACATTTTTGATTAAGTTACCATTGAATTGAATTCAATTTAATTGATATTGAATTCAATTCAATGAATGCATTGAATTCATAAAACATTGTTTAATTTTATGGGCAAGAATGAATCACCATTTGTACAAATACAGACTTTTGATGTGGACATAATTTACAGTTTTGTCCTGCTTTTTTAGGGTCAATGTGTGAATTAATACTTTTTCCTGTACAATTTAATTGTAATCTGTAATTTAGCAAAGCAGGAAGAGTCTTTAAAATACCAGTAAATCACAGTTGCATTCTTTTTTTTTACAGCGTTTAATATGACGTGCCCATGTGACAGTGTGAAGCAGAACTTGTTCTTAAATGAACTACTTGTATGTCCTCGATGGGGAAACTGCAGTTTTTGGATGTCAACAGTGCAAGAGTCCCAGAAAACGCGTCGCTGCCCTCTCAGTCGTCATCTTTGTTTGACCATCACTTCTGTCCGCACTTTGCCAACAACTTTCTCTTGCCGCCTTTCTCCCTCTCACTCAAACTCTCACTGATGCACCCCGAGGCGGAAATATCTAAGTGCACGCAGGGCAAGTTCAGACAGAGACGGAGGCAGAGAGAATGGTGGGAGGGTTGCGAGGATTTCGAGTGACTGACAGTAAATGTCGAGAGGGAGGAATGCCGTGAGGGGAAACACCACAAGTGTTTGTTGGGCAACTGATGGTAAAGAGGATCTGGCAAGAAGATTCTCCGCTATTCTCTGCTGGATGTGTATAAGACAAACAGAAAGCGTTGAGAAAGGCAGAGTGTGTGTGTGTGTGTGTTCGTGTGTGTGTGTGTGCGCGTGATCCTGTGTGTGTTTGCGCAATCAGTCAATGGGTGCAAGTATATCAACGCTCCCTTCCATCCGAGGGTATTGACAGTGTTAAATGTCTCCGTCCCTGAGTGAAGACTGCACTTTAGTCTGCCTCTCTATACAGAAGTGACCCGTTTTAGCGGCTTGAAAAACCTCTTTTCATGATTCCCCCCTTCTCTTTCTGTGTCTCCTCTCCGGTCCCTATCTCTCCCATCCCCAAACTCTTTCATGAGCAGTCTCTCAGGGGCAGGGTTGTAACACAACCCCGCACCCTTTTGTCTCCATTCTTTTCCTTATCCTTTCATCTTTTTAAACATTCAGGGGGAAAGGGGTTTGGTGAGATGGAAACCACTACTTGGTAAAGGAAAGAAAGAGATAGCATGTGAGAGAGGGAGAGAGAGAGAGACGGGAGGGGGGGGAGGCGGGAGGAGGAGGAGGAGGAGGGGAGGAGGCAGAGTCTCCCCCGTTCTGCTCATCCGCCAATTTATGGCCCTTCTTTTCAACAAGGCCATTCAAGGTGGGGAGGCTCAGTGGACGCGCTGTTCTCGCGGGTCAATAGCAGTGAACCCTCGTCTGGTGTGTATGGGGGTGACTTATCTGCACCGAGGACCCGTTGAACTGTCTGTGTCCTCCATAGACCTCCATTGTGTCTCCGCCGGGCCTTCGCCGACTTTCCCCAAAAGACCTGCGAGCGGACAGAGCAGCCAGTCACCAGCTTTCAACTTTAAAACACAACTGCCTGCACTCACCCAGCAAACATGTTGCACAAAAAAACACCGCACCATCGATGATGGATCTCTGAGGGGGAGTTAGGACCATGTTTAATCTTATTCTGGATGCATCAAAACACACATAATAACAGATAAAAAAAAAATAAAAATGTCAGCACACAAGTATGGCAAAAATGTGTTAAGAAATGCTCCATGTTGCAATATTTGATCGTTTAAAAGCTTGCAGGATTTGGATCTGCACCAACAACCAGACACCTGTTTTTTTGCCTGCAGTGTCAATAAATATTAGAATTTGTTTTTGCACAGCACTTAATAGGAAATAATAAAAAGTTCATTGTTGGCATCTGGGATGAGAACGAGGACACACGAGGGAGGTAAATCCCTTAAACATCCATATAAAGGTTGTTTTCTAACCATTTAAGAGGTCTCATAAAATGAAAGGAAATTAGTCGTTATCACTTGTGACTGGAATTGTCACGCTTGTAGTATATGGTATATATTTCAGGATGTGGGGTTTAGAAAACACAAGGATCGCTGGAGTGACGGGGGTCAGGGCTGGGATTTATTTAAGATGTATTTTTTATTGAACCAAGATGTGTCTTTAGATTAAAATCTCTTTTTCGAGGGAGATCTGGCCAAGAAGACCAGACAAACATCTAATTTGCACATTAGATCTTGCACCTAAGTAAAAGTACCAAAGTATTAGCATCAAAATATACAAAAAATAGTAACAGTAAAGCTGCTAAATGTGATACAGAACCTATAAAAGGTTTTTCCCTTTAACTGATTTTCAACATTGAGTCATGATCAATTTACTTTGGATTTTTCGACAAGAAAAAAAAAAACTTTCAAAGTGAACACTGATTTCTATAAAGTCAATAATGCCAATTAATTGAAAAAAAAAAAAACTGTAAAATAAGTGACATAAGTATTGACCCCTTTTAAACTGACAACACACTTTAAGACAGGTGCAGCCACTTGGTGCTAGAAGTCACACAGTTAGTGAAATAAAGATCATCTGAGTACAGTAAAGGTGTCTGAAGTGATTATAGTAAAAAGACTCCTGTATCTGAAAAGTGCAGTCACTGGTGAATTAGTACTCCTGGATATAGTCACTCCATGAACACAACAGAACACTCCAAGCAAATTTGTGAATATGTTATTGAAAAGTGTGGGTCAGGGGATGGAGTGTGTGTCCCTGAATCCATCAGTGAGAACTTAAAGAAATATGGCATATCTGTAAATTTGCCTGCAACAGGAAGTAACCAAAAACTGAGTAATCGTGCAAGAAAGACACAAGTGAGGGGGGCCATCAAGACACATATGAGTCCTCTACTTTGCAAGCTGTAGCAGCTGAGATACTGTGAATATAGCAACTGTTGCCTGTTCTTCACCAGTCAAAACTTTATAGGAGAGTGGCAAAGAGAAAGCCACTGTTGAAAAAAATCTGACTTGAGGTCACCAGAAGACATGTGGAAGACCCTGAAGTAAACAGGAGGAACATTCTTTGGTCTGATGAGACCAAACCGGAGCTTTCTGGTCCTTAGATGTGACAATATGTTTGATAGACACCAAACACTGCACATCATCACAAACACACCATCCCCACTGTGAAGCATGGTGGTGGCAGCATCATAACATGCTTTTCAGCAGCAGGTCCTGGAAGACTTGTAAAGGTGGAGGCTAAAATGAATCCAGCAGGGTATAGGAAAATCCTGGAGAACAACCTGATTTAGTCTGCAAGAGAAAGGCCACTTGGGAGAACATTTGTTTTCCAGCAATGACCTGAAGCATACAGCTGAAGCTACACAGAAATGGTTTAAAGACAACAAGGGGAATGTTCTTGGGTGGCTGAGTCAGAGCCCAGACTTCAATCAAACTAAGAATTTGTGGCAGGACTTGAAAAGGACTGTTCATATACAATCCCTGTGCAACCTGACAGCTTGAGCAGTTGTGCAAAGAAAAATGGGGCAAAACTGCCGCGTCCAGACGAGAAACTCTGAGACCGTCCACACAAGCTCAAAGGTGCATCCAACTAAATACTGACTTGAACATTTACGCAATCAGTTGTTTTACATTTAATATGTTTAATTTATTGACATTGCTTTGTACAGATCTGCTTTCACTTTGACAGAACTGTTTTTGTTGTTGTAAATGACTCAATGTTGAAAGGTAAATAAAGGAAAACTTCCAACATTTTTATGCACTGTATAGTTTGTCTGCTGGGTTACTTGGAAATTTCCCCTCAGGGATCAATAAAGTTCAATCTTAACTTATAATATTACTTCATAGTTTATGTTATGAGTCCATTTTGCAGAATAACTAGTATCTACAAGCACAATAGTTGCCAGGAAATGAAAATACTCAAGTAAACTCTGAATTATCTTTCTGAACAGCACTTAAGTAAATGTACTTTCCAGCACCCAGGACCCCCATATGAGTAAGTAGTAAGTTTAAATCGTTTGTCAGAGTATACAGCATATTTTTATTTTACCTATATAAACTTAATCCCTGGATTTGGTTTGCCACATGAGTATTTTTTGACCTCCTTCAGGTGCCAAAACAACTCATGTTCGCATCTACCAAAAAATCTGGCACAAGCAGGCAGGAAGCAATCTGCAAACATACTCGGATCTGGCATTAAAACTAAGGTTACATCCTCAGGTTGGATTGTGCCAAACGGGTATCACGTTGCAGCCCAGTGCACTTTGCAGACCGGAGGACCCTGAACAATCCCAGCCTCGCTACAGCTTGTTTGTAATAATTTGCACTGTCTGTTACCACCACATAATGAACTCACAACACGTGGCACCGGGCCAATACCGCTGCCGGTAATTTACCAGACGGATTTCTTGAGAAGTGTGTGGCAGGAGTGAAAAAAAGGGGGGGGGGGTTACGGTTAAAAAAAAAAAAAAAAAAAAAGTCTCAGTCACGCACTTAAATTTGCATATCGAGAAGTTAGCAACAAACTGCGACCTTTTTTTTGGGCTAATGACGCTCGCTAAATCTTGGAAAACTGTTTTCTATTAATGTCTAAGAGGCGGTTCTTGCATACATCTGCTCTCACAGATGTTACTCGTTTAATGTTGTGGGTCTCCTCTCAATATACTGACCTCCTGAGGAAGAAAGCTCGTCTCTGCGCTTCCCAACAGAAACCGGAGTCGTTAGCTGCGTCGAGCTAGCGGCAGCTAAAGGAGGCTAGCGCTGGAAGTAGCTCGCGGTTGACTGAAAAAATAAAAGCGCCGTCGCGACTTCGCCGCTCAATCGCAGTTCGGATTCGACAGCGTGTCGTTTTATTTTGACAGCCGCACACGGAAGCTGCCCATCCAGGTGACGCTAGCTTAAATGTTCGTCGGACTTTACGCGTTTCAGGCGGAGTTCGGATCTTAAAACATTTGGCACAACTTTCTTGACCGCTCCGCTTCTCCGTTCACACATTTGAACCGCCTTGGAGGAGTCACAACTCGTGGACTATCTAGCATTTTAGTTCTTTTTTTTTCTTGTTGTTGCTAGTTTTATTTACAAACAACATTTTAACGCAGCCACCCTCCCTCCTCAGAGTGGAAGCGCTCGCGGACAGGAGAGACAAGTTTTGTGGTTACTTTCCATTTTTTCCTCGTCGGAGTTTTTTTTCTTTTTTTTTTTTCTGGGGTGCACATGCGATGTCACGGACTATTAAAAGAAGAAAGAAATGTATGTGATTAGTTCTGCTGTTGACGTGCGAGAGTATTTTGTGAGTTAATTTCTTTAAACCAGTTAAGCAACTGGCGACAGGACTCTATAATCAATGTGGTGTCAGCTGGAAGGACGCGGGGTCCGGATCTCACCTAAACGGTACGTCTCCAGATCACACCCGGAGGCCTTCAAGTGTGCTGTAAAAATGAATACACGCACATATTTACTGATTTATTAAAGTGTGCCATCTGTAAAATACACGAGTAGTTACATAATGCGAGCAACTGCTTAATTAGGTCAGTTTATTGACCATTTTGGGTACAAAAACTGTATTTATCAGCTCTACTTCTTACTCACATGCAGACACAACCAAGCTGGATCTTTTTTTTTTAAATGTATTATATATACACGCATTGCAATTTAATTTAATGTATTTAGTTGTATTGATTCCACAGCTCGTCTCAAGTGTTGCAAAACCGAAAACACTTGACACACTCACATCTCTGTTTCAAATTGCATTTTGCTTGGCACTGGTGCACTTGTAGGACTTTCCACATTTTGTTTTGGTTGGCAGTCACTCAGGTGAGGTGAGAGCTACCGACTAACAATCCAAACCCGCAGGTAGATCACAAACACCAGGTTGCCATTGAAAACATACCTGCAGCTGATCTTTTAATTCCTTATTGTTCGCAGATCAAGAGCTGGATAGACTCTGTAGGAGGTTTTTTTTTTTCTTTTTTCTTTTTTGGGGGGTGAAAGTGCAGGTAAAATGATCACAAAGATTATACATTCATTTACTGCAGCTTTTAAATTCTCTGTGGGGTCACTTGCAGCATGTTTCATCACACTGTGAAAGCTGTGTTCTTGTGCATGCACCTCCTCCGTAGTGTCATCCTGTGTGTGAAAGTGATTTAAAAGAGGTGTCCCTGATATGCAGTAAAGAAAAAAAAATAAAAGAGGCTGGAGAGGAGGAAGGGGCTGGATCCTGCAGGCCGAGCATGCTATGAAACAATCAGAGACCTGGAATTAATGGGCTGTTTGCACAGTGGGGCAGCAAGGCGTTGTAAATGAGCACATGTGAGGCTTTTACTGTAGAGAAAGAGGAGGGGGAGATCGAAAAAAATAAAGTGAGATGGAGGACAAACATTTACCTGCACGTTTTTTTCCATGTCACATGGAGTCACCGCCACTCCTGTTGTTTCCAGTGGATGCATGTCAGACAGCTTAGTCAGACTGACGCTGTCATAAAATCTGCTGAAAGATGTGACATGAGGTGCAAACTGTTTTTAGGGAAATTTCCTGCAGTCAGCCGGCCTCCGGACATCACTTTTAGGTTACAGAACTTCAAAGAGGCAGGATTAGGACGAGGACACTAAGACTGAAAGCATTAACTCTCTGTCAGTGTCTGACATCAGCCACACATGAGGAGGGGATTACTTTGTAAACAGGCTAATAGCACAGTAGTCACTGCCAGGTGTGGAGCTGCTTTATGGCATCTGTTTCCTGGGGAGGGTCTTGCAGCCAGAGGCCCTCCGCACCATCATTCCCCCCAATGACTTCACTCACGCTGTCTGATCTGGATTAAACCCCTGCGATTCACACTGGCAACGCTCAAAACAGGAGTCAGACCAATTTACCAGGAGCCAGAGCTCCCCAAGATACACTTTCCTGTGTTGTTTATGCTGTATGTTCAAGTTTTCTTGCTATGCTTTCAAGCAAAGCTTCTGCAGATTTAATTTATGTGTTTCGTGCTAATTTAATGGACGCAAAATAAGAGGCTGTTGTCATTTCTCAAGCAAAAACTTTCTCAGGTGGCAGCTTCTCCAATCCTTACACTGTAATAAATGTTAATCTTGTGGGTTGTAATAGGCATTTTTCCACATATTTGTGTGTTTTATTGACCAGATTTAATCAAAAAATGAATTAGCGAATGAGTCAGTTGCAAAAAACAAACATCAGCTGCAGACTGCCTTACCTTTTTTTTTTGGTTCCTCAAATAGCTGTATATATTAAAAAACAAGAAAAACTGATTTAGATGAACTAATAACTATACTTGTGAAATCTAATACTAAAGAGCGATTCAAAGGGACCGAAGCGGGGAGGACTAGTTGAAAACAAAGTGAAATAACTGTCACATAAATATGCTCCCTGACGTCGTCTCACTTGTATCTTTTGGGAATGTTGCATTGCACAGTTTGCGTCTCTACGCTGTAGAACATTAAACAGGATTTTAGTTAACTCACCCTTTCTGACAGAAGTATACAAATTTCAAGTTGTTTCAACATAAAATATAAAATTGTTATGCATTAATCTACAGCAGAGACTTTGATCAGGACGTTAAATTAAGTTTTTAAAAGAATCTAAACTTGAACACAAACAGACTTCCCAACATGCATTGCTGAAAAGTTCAAATTTGAGCTTGAATTCAAAGTGAAACTTGCTGTTTGTCATTTACATAAGAATGAAAACAAACCATGAGGACGGTTACTGTTGAATTCAGCCTCAGAAGACTTATTGTAAAACAAAGAAACTAGAAGCAGCCTCGCGTGCTGTCTTTTGTTAAAAAAAAAAAAAGATTTCAACACAAACTTCTTCAAGTCAAATAATACAAAAAGGAAAGTAAAAGGAAAGCAAGTTACTGTAACAATATCTTAAACTGACTGAACTTAAAAAGTCAATTTCAAAGCTCACAAGATAACGTTGTACTAATTATTCAAATGAAGTTTATTTAACTCGTGTTTTTAAGTTGAACAAACCTAAAATGATTCCCAGTGCAGGCTTCTGAACATCTAATAAACACATCTGAGTGGATCTAATTAATAATCAGAGCTGCTGGAGTTCACAGAGGCCTCACTGTTAATGTCATCGTTTAGTCTGTTTAGTGTGTTTATTCACGGATTGTTGCTTGATGAGCTGGTTGCTCTGTTTGTTCAGGCTGTCCTGTGGTTTCAGGGTATTCTTCCTGCGCTCATTTAGAAGGAGTTCAGGCCACGGAGATTAGGATTAACACAAGTGTGCCGTGCTGAGTGGGGTTTTACTCGCTGAGGGAGGTTTTGGGTTCAGAGAGTCGGGGATGTGTGTGTCTGCAGGGGGGATTGGGAGGGCTTGGGTCGGGTCCAGCCGCCGGGAGAACGTCGTGGTCCTCCTCTGGCCTCGCAGGGAGCGTAAATGATGCGTGTCATTGTAGTAAATGGAGCGTGGTGATGAAGTGCTGCTGCTGTTTTACAAAGAAACCACTTAGAGAGTCTGCCTGCCTCCTGTCTGAAGGCTCCCAGGAAGCCCTGAAGAAGCTCCCCTACAACATGTACTAGTAGCACAACCCCTCCTGGATATTCACCCTGAACCACCTCCGTCACTAAACCTTTGCTGCACGCTGTGTTTTCAGCCCTCGGCAGGCCTCTCCGCGCTGCAGGGGTGTGTTAACAGTTAGATTTATCGTTTAATTTGCTTTCATCACACAGCATTTGGCAGGCCTGCTCCGTGGATCAGTGGTCTGAGCAAACAGGAAGCTCGACACACTTTGATTTATTGTCAGCATGAGTGATGTGTCAACCAAACCTTGCCACTCTGCATTGTGTCCAGGGTGTGGCCCCGCTGACTACAGCTCCTGTCACGGGAAGGATTTTGTTTTGTCACTCATTCACCTTGTTCACACCGAAGCCCTCTGATGATGCATCCACTCACCCACACAGACAAACACCGAATGCACTCGTTCTTTCTTCCCCTGCGTGTTATTTTTGACTCCTCGCCGCCTGAGGAAACCGTGAAGGAGCCTCGCCACTGAAGCTGCATCTCTCACATTCTGATCATTCCACCTATTTTAACTCTTTCCAAGTGACCTCCTCCCTGCTTTCAGACAGATAACTAAATCTGCGTTGCGTAGGCTTCTCAATGCCGTCCCGGTGTACCTGCCACATGGACGGGTGACTGGAATATTTCTGCCGTGAGTCACTGCGCAACTTATCGTTGAAACGCACATGATTCACCTCTGGTCGACTCATGACTTTTTTGTTTCTTCGAAATGATGTCAGACTAGACATACTCATGCAACGGAAAGGCCTAATTCATGTTTACGTTTGGCTTAAACGTGAGGGAGTGCTTTTATAATAGCATCATATAGTTGTGTAATAGTTATTGTAATGACTTTTCAGTTAGTCACTATTTAACGCAGCATCACACCAAATATGAGCAGCAGATGTATCACTAAGTTATAGATAATACAACTTAGATGAACACTAATTTCAGAATTTTTGATTTTAGATATCAAATTCATATTGTATTTGCTGTATTTAAATTTCACAAATTCTGAACTCCAAGCAGAAGTTTCCGGGCGTTTCTTGC